TTCAATTGCAATTCGACAATTTCATTTGTAAATCGAGAACTCTATTTGCAATTCATAACATTTCACTTGTAATTCTACACCTTTTTCACATGTTATTCAAAACATATCAAATGTAATTCGAAAATTCCATTTGTTATTCACAACATACAATTTGCAATTCGAGATTTCCATTTGCAATTCATAACATATCAGTTGTAATTCGAGAATTTCATTTGTAATTCATAGAACACCTTTCGAAATTCGCAGAATTCCATTTGAAATTCGTAAAATGCCATTGGAAATTCATAAAACTCCATTTGAAATTACTAAAATTTCATTTGAAATTTATAAAATTCCATTCAACTTTCAAATAAACTCAATTGAAATTCGTAATATTTCATTTGAAATTAATATCATTTCATTTTAAATTGGAAAAATGTTATGGGAAACACCCAAAATATGTGTAACACATTAAGGTGGGTAATAATGTATGTACATATTAACACTAGAACGCCGAGGGCAGTCATTTTGACCGCTTTCCAATTTCAAGTACAAAAGCAACTGTGCATTTAATGACACTTTTTTTTAAAATATGGTGACTTTTTGTACCTCACAGAATTACGTTTATTATAAAAAATTCAGTAAATTTAAAAAAAGTGTCATTAAATGCACAGTTCCTTTTGTACTTGAAATTGGAAAGCGGTCAAAATGACTGCCTTCGGCGTTCTAGTGTTAATGTAATATACTTTATAATTTTATATACTTTATACTTTTTTGCATCATGATCTTTAATGTATGTATTTAAATTTAATTTATATACATTATTGACAGACCTTAATGTTGATTTTTATTCATTCTTTTAAAAACCGCATATATATATCTTTTATGAATTTCTCATGTTTATATATATATATGTTAGTTTATTTTTTTAATACTATTTTTCGCTACATAAAAAAATTTTACACCACTTATTGTTCAATATATTTATTTTATTCGAATTTAAAATGAAATGTTAAGAATTTGAAATGAATTTTTACGAATTACAACTGAAATATTATGATTCACAAGTAAAATTTTATGAATTTCAAGTTGAATTCATTGAATTTCAAATAAAAATATACAAATGAAATTCTTAAAAATTTAGATGGAATTTTTTTGAATTACATATGGAAAGTTTAAAATTACAAATGAATTGTTGTGAATTGCCGATTAAATACTCGAATTACAACTGAAATGTTATGAATTGCAAATTGAATTTCATTTGTAATTCGAAAACTCAATTTGCAATTCATAACATTTCACTTAGTAAGCACAGGTGAGTATAAAGTTTGCTGTCAAAACATATTTTGAAACCTATACATACAAACAAAATTATATTAGACGTCAAAACGAAAATAATATTTTGTCAACATTCAATTCAATTTTAATTATATTGTCTTTGTGAAGCATATTTGGACTATTTCAAGAGTTTAACAAAGATTTTCAAGTAAAATATTCTACAAATTATAAATTGTGTTTTGGCTGTGTTTTTTATTTAAAGTCGAAACAATTAGTTTTCGCCTCGGCAAAAATAATTGACGTTAAACTTAAGTTTTCTCTATGCATTCGCTTACTGTTCGACCTTATATAGGCCTTTATCTAATCCATTCAAAATTTCGTTTCGTTTTTTTTTTTTTTTTTTTTGGATTTTAGAGCATGGTACAATTATAAAAGGAAACAGCAAAACCCTGCTGATTTGATTCAAACGTAAGACTATTGTCAATATGAATATGGCAATTTCCAGCATTTTAATATGGGTTACATATATAACTGCTAATGACTAAATTAGAGAGGGATTAGAAGAAAGATGTAGAAACGATAAAAATAAAATTTTGATAGATTTTCATTCCTGTTTTCAATTTTATTTTGAGGATTCGAAAAAAATTGAAATAAATAAAATGTCTTTGATTGTTTACATATTTCTGTCAAATGAGGTTGATACTACACCTTTTTCAAATGTTATTCAAAACATTTCAATTGCAATTCGAGAATTTCATTTGTAAATCGAGAACTCTATTTGCAATGCATAACATTTCACTTGTAATTCTACACCTTTTTCACATGTTATTCAAAACATATCAAATGTAATTCGAAAATTCCATTTGTTATTCACAACATACAATTTGCAATTCGAGATTTCCATTTGCAATTCATAACATATCAGTTGTAATTCGAGAATTTCATTTGTAATTCATAGAACACCTTTCGAAATTCGCAGAATTCCATTTGAAATTCGTAAAATGCCATTGGAAATTCATAAAACTCCATTTGAAATTACTAAAATTTCATTTGAAATTTATAAAATTCCATTCAACTTTCAAATAAACTCAATTGAAATTCGTAATATTTCATTTGAAATTAATATCATTTCATTTTAAATTGGAAAAATGTTATGGGAAACACCCAAAATATGTGTAACACATTAAGGTGGGTAATAATGTATGTACATATTAACACTAGAACGCCGCAGGCAGTCATTTTGACCGCTTTCCAATTTCAAGTACAAAAGCAACTGTGCATTTAATGACACTTTTTTTTAAAATATGGTGACTTTTTGTACCTCACAGAATTACGTTTATTATAAAAAATTCAGTAAATTTAAAAAAAGTGTCATTAAATGCACAGTTCCTTTTGTACTTGAAATTGGAAAGCGGTCAAAATGACTGCCTTCGGCGTTCTAGTGTTAATGTAATATACTTTATAATTTTATATACTTTATACTTTTTTGCATCATGATCTTTAATGTATGTATTTAAATTTAATTTATATACATTATTGACAGACCTTAATGTTGATTTTTATTCATTCTTTTAAAAACCGCATATATATATATATATCTTTTATCAATTTCTCATATATATATATATGTTAGTTTATTTTTTAATACTATTTTTCGCTACATAAAAAAATTTTACACCACTTATTGTTCAATATATTTATTTTATTCGAATTTAAAATGAAATGTTAAGAATTTGAAATGAATTTTTACGAATTACAACTGAAATATTATGATTTACAAGTAAAATTTTATGAATTTCAAGTTGAATTCATTGAATTTCAAATAAAAATATACAAATGAAATTCTTAAAAATTTAGATGGAATTTTTTTGAATTACATATGGAAAGTTTAAAATTACAAATGAATTGTTGTGAATTGCCGATTAAATAATCGAATTACAACTGAAATGTTATGAATTGCAAATTGAATTTCATTTGTAATTCGAAAACTCAATTTGCAATTCATAACATTTCACTTGTAATTCGAGTATGTAATTTGTAATTCACAACATTTCATTTGTAATTTTAAACTTTTCGTATGACATTCAAAAAATTACATTTGAAATTTAAAAAATTTCATTCGTAATTCGAATATTTCAATTTGAATTTCGTAGAGTTTCATTTGAAATTCAAAGAAATCCATTTGAAGTTCAAAGAATCCAATTTGAAATTCATTACATTTCACTTGTAATTCATAAAATTTCAGTTGTAATTCATAACAATTCATTTCAAATTCATACATATTCCTTTTGTGTTACAATAATATTTTTCGTATTTAAAATTAAATGATATGAAAAACAAATGGAATGTTATGTATTTCAAATCAAATGTTAAGAATTTCAAATGGAATTATTTAAATTTCAAATGGAATTTTATTAATTTCAAGTGGAACTTTATGAATTTCAAACGCAAATACTTGGAATTTCAAATGGAAGTTTATGAATTTCAAATGGAATTCTATGAATTTCGAAAGGTATTCTAGGAATTACAAATGAAATTCTCGAATTACAGCTGATATGTTTTGAATAATATGTGAAAAAGGTGTAGTGTGCAATTGGTAATTCACAACATTTCATTTGTAATTTTAAACATTTCATATGAAATTCAAAAAAATCTATTTGAAATTAAAAGAAATTCATTTGTAATTGGTATAATTCCATTTGAAATTTGTAGAGTTTCATTTGAAATTCAAAGAAATCGATTTAAAATTCAAAAAAGTCAACTTGGAATTTATAACATTTCACTTGTAATTCAAAATATTTCAGTTGTAATTCGTAAAAATTCATTTCAAATTGATACATATTCCTTGTGTGTTACCATTAATATTTTTCGAATTTAAAATTAAATGTTATGAAAAACAAATGAAATTTTATATGCATATAACAAATGAAATTTTATATGTATGTATAAAATGTTAAGAATTTCAATTGGAATTATTTAAATTTCAAATGGAATTTTAAGAATTTCAAATGCAATACTTGGAATTTCAAATGGAAGTTTATGAATTTCAAATGGAATTCTATGAATTTCGGACGGTGTTCTATTAATTACAAATGAAATTCTCGAATTACAACTGATATGTTATGAATTGCAAATGGAATTATCGAATTGCAGATTGTATGTTGTGAAATACAAATGAAATTCTCGAATTACATTTGATATGTTTTGAATAACATGTGAAAAAGGTGTAGTATTACTTACAACAAATTTCCATGTGGTTGTTGTATAGTTTGTTGTACAATATAATAATCCTACTTCAGTTACGTATATTAAAAAAACAATAATTGCTATTGCGCATGTCGCTAAAATATCGGTTTTTGTACTAATACATTCCACTACGCCTGGTTCAACAGTATAGAATGGGTTGAGGGTTTGTTTACAATAAAACAACCCTCAGCATTTTCATTTTTATGTTTTAGAAGTTTTGTTTTGATACTCTATTCCGTAGGTATTCAGCGATGCCTCATTCACATTGCCAGCATAATGCCAACACAGCCGTACAAAAGCTTTAAGAGAGGATTTAAATCACACTGTGTACGATGTGAAATCAGTGTCTCATCTGCTTCATTGTGTCAAAGGACTATGAAAGGAATACGGTATACACATTTCCATGATTTGTTTACTGCCCTTTGATGAGTGGCGTATACAAACAGAAAAATAAATATAAACCATTTGAATCCAAGCAAAGGCCAATATACTAAGTTATGGGTGAATCTGGAGATAGGCATTATCAGAAATTGCCACCAGGATGGGATTGTAAATATGACCAAGCCACCGGAAATTGGTAAGTACAGAGCAATAATGTGTCGCACAAAAGAATATGACAGAAAAATCGGCATTTACAATCTTAGCGTAATTCTTCAAATTTCATTTATACTGTATTTTTTGGAGTACCTAGATTGTGTAATTATTAAAATATTTGCTCTAAATTTAAGAAGTACTTCATATAAATTCTGCAACATTCATACATATATTTGTGCATATTAACATATTAGTGTTGTGTGCTTTTGATGTTCTCGTACAAAAAGGAAGCCAAGTAATTTAATTGTGTGTGTTTGTGTACTAGGGTGGCAATTATCATTTGATTATATTGCTGTAGAGTTATGACGATTCATAATAGTAGGAATGAATGAACTTTTGCCTAAAATAAATAAATAAAATAATATTATTCTTCTTAATTATGTAAAAACGTTCCGTCACTTTTTAATAATGTTTTTATGCAAAAATTAATTCTTATTATTTAATTATATATATACAAAAACAGTAAGGAATGTTCAAAAGTCGGACGGGGCCGAATATATGATACTATGGGTACAATATCCTTTAGATTGAGTAGACATAGCATCTTTGTACGTCCATTGAAATGGAATCGGACGAAATTAACTGCGTGAAGACCAAAGATTTTTGAACTAAATTAAAACAAACGAAATAATAGACATTTGAACTAAATTAAATCAATGTCAATTATCGAGCAAAAGATTTTTAAGATCTATATATAAATGGAAATATTTGAGCAACCGTGGCATACACCAGTTGGCATGTGCAACACCGTGCGTTATCCAAAATTTAGCTCGACACGAAATCCAATACACGTTTTTCTAGTCTCGATTTGGTACGTTGTGCACTAATTCGTCCTAAGTGGGCGAATGCACAATGGACTGAGGTGACAGACGTTGGCCGAGTAAGATTTGGTACGTTGTGCACTAATTCGTCATAAGTGGGCGAATGCACAATGGACTGAGGTGACAGACGTTGGCCGAGTAAGACTCGGGTCTTTTGGGATGGTAGACCACTCTGTCGTGGAAACGTACTTGGTACATCATTTGGATGAAATCGGATGAAAATATATACGGAAGCTATATTTAAACCTGAAACGTCCTCAATCCACTACGCTATGCTATATTTCATGTAAAGCGAAAAGATATACGCTCCCCCATTTGCATAAAATCGGACAAAAATATATGAGGGAGCTATATCTACATCTGAACAGATTTCAACAACAAAATATCGTGCAAATAGAACAGGATATATGGTGCACCATTTACATGAAATGGGACTAAAGTATGTGAATCTGAAACGATTTCGAACTTAACCAACGCATTCAAACTAAAGTCCATACCCGCTGCTAAATTTCGTGAATATAGAAGAAACATAGACTCCTCGGTGCGCGTTTTCAATAAAATCGGACGATAATATATATGGGAGCTAAATCTGAACCTATCTCTACAAAACCTCACGGATGTCAACCTGTAGTAACTTCAATACGGTATACAAAATCTTGTCTCAAAAGGAACCATGGGTCTACCTCGATTCCTTTTGCCTGTAACAAACATATGCACAAAGGCATAATACCCTGTACCACTGTGTGGTGACGGATATAAAAATTAAAAATAGGGAGGTAACCCCCCTCGGTCAGCAGGGCGGGTGTGAAAGGCGTGGGAACGAACGAAAAAAATTTCTAGATTCCAAAAAAACACATGACTTTTTAATTAAATGGGACATTGACTATAGATAGGATGCTGAAATCTTTTATGATTTTCATATTTAAAGATATTTCATGGGAAAGCTTGTGGTTAATTATATATGTGTTTAGAATGACTAAAAAGAATTTTCTAAAATTCTTATAAATTCACATAAATAAAAAAGTTCAAATGATTTTGTGGTTGAGCTGTTTTTATCTAATCTTATTAGAAGTAAATTAGAAAAAAAATAAGTAAAATGTAACTATTCTACCTGACTCAGTTAACCCCTTATAACATTTCCATAGATCTTTCATAGATTTTTGTAAAAAAACGACGAATTAGTGAAAAATAAACATAAGGACTTCATATAACATTAGTTTTCTTATGTAATTATAATAATACTAAACTTCAAAAGCGTGCAACGCATCATTATCATGGTTGGGAAAAATTTTAGTGACACATTAGTTCGCAGTGAGTTCATGTTTTTAATTCACTTCAACCACCTGTAATTTAGGATTTTAGAATAGAAATTTATATCTGAATATTCTATTCAAAACCAAGATTTATTTATTAAGGTAAGGCAACCTAAAGTCTTCATTGATTTTTTCAATTTCGTCTTTATAAAGTCGAAAGCGTTTACCAGTTTACCAAATTGACTGACATTTAAATACATATCGTCAGCTAAAATGCAAAAAGGCGTAACTAAAAAAAATTGAAAATTGACTTTTTGAATGAATATTAGAATGTCAATAAACTACATGTGTTGACAAAGTTTTACACGTCTGCGGTCAAAGAAGATGCTTCTATTAACAAAAAACAAAAAGGCGTAATTAAAAAAAATCAAATTTTTACTTAATTGTTATGACTGCCATTAAACTAAATAACTAAATTTGTTAAAACCAGTAAGGAAAGTAGTAAAGTCGGACGGGGCTGACTATATGATACCCTTCACCACTATGGATATATCAAACAGGACTATTAACATGAAATTGGATGAAATAAAATATGTGATATTTATCTAAATGTGAATCTACCTATATATCCATAAGTTATATAAATCGACTTCAATCAAATATAAATAGGTTATCTGTTGGGCTATCTGTTGGGCTTCTAGAAAACGCAACTACGTAATTCTATGCTCAATTTTGTACGTTGTGCAAAATTTGATGTCAACCTGACTAGCATGAAGAGTTTGATGTCCAATTTACTTAAAATCGGGCGAAAATATATATGGAAGCTCTATCCAAATATATCGAAGGATATATAGGGACTTTGGTGCACCATTTACATGAAATCGGACGAAACTATATCTGAATCTGGGCCGATTTTCTCGAAACTGGGCAGACATCATTCTAGGCTCAATTCAGTACGTTATGCCAAATTTCCTGCAAATCGAAAGATATATAGGGACTTTGGGGCACCATTAACATGAAATCGGACGAAACTATATATGGGAGCTATATCTAAATCTGGACCGATTTTCGCGAAACTGGGCAGACATCATTCTAGCCTCAATTCAGTACGATATGCCAAATTTCATGCAAATCGAAAGATATATAAGGACTTTGGTACACCATTTACCTTAAATCGGAGGAAGATATATACGGGAGCTATATCTAAATCTGAACCGATTTTCACGAAACTTTGCACACATCATTCTAGACTTAATTCAGTGCGCTATGCCAAATTTCGTGCAAATCGAAAGATATATAGGGACTTTGGTATGCCATTTACCAAAAATCGGCCGAAACTATATATGGGAGCTATATCTAAATCTGAACCGATTTTCACGAAACTTGGCACACATCTTTCGTGGCTCAATTCAGTACGCTATGCCAAATTTCGTGCAAATCGAAAGATTTTCAGGGTCTAAAGTCCGTAAATCGGGCGAAACTATATATGGGAGCTATATATAAATCTGAACCGATTTTCACGAAACTTGGCACACATCTTTCGTGGCTCAATTCAGTACGCTATGCCAAATTTCGTGCAAATCGAAAGATTTTCAGGGTCTAAAGTCCGTAAATCGGGCAAAAATATATATGGGAGCTATATCTAAATCTGAACCGATTTTCCCAATTTCAATAGGGTTCGTCCTTGGGCCAAACAAATGAGCTGTGCCAAATTTCATCCAAATCGGATCATAAATGCGACCTGTACTTTGTTTACAATTTAACATGGACAGACGGACAGACGGACGGACGGACATGCATAAATCGATTCAGAAAGTGATTCTATGCATATTCTCAAAAGGAACCATGGGTCTATCTCGATTATTTTTGCCTGTTACAAACATATGCACAAAGACATAATACCCTGTACCACAGTGTGGTGAAGGGTATAAAAATTATAGTCTATTATTCGTCATATGCAATATCTATTATTCGTATGCCCGGCAGCATACTTTTTTTGACATGTTTATAGTTTTCATTCAAAACAGTTTTTTGCTTCTCCTACACAATTATGCTTTTGTTAGTTACGCTTTTTTGCATTTTAGATAACGATATACAAAATTAAAATTCTATACAATACACCCATTATTCTTCTCAAGCAACTTGGTAATGAATAATAATACCCTGTACCACAGTGTGGTGAAGGGTATAAAAATTATAGTCTATTATTCGTCATATGCAATATCTATTATTCGTATGCCCGGCAGCATACTTTTTTTGACATGTTTATAGTTTTCATTCAAAACAGTTTTTTGCTTCTCCTACACAATTATGCTTTTGTTAGTTACGCTTTTTTGCATTTTAGCTAACGATATACAAAATTAAAATTCTATACAATACACCCATTATTCTTCTCAAGCAACTTGGTAATGAAACACATTTTAGCTATTCCTCTATAAAATATCTGGCGTTATATGGGTTAAAAATTCGATAATGACGTTTTTATTCCATTTATTTTTTTTCAGCTATTATATAAATTACATCACGAAAGTAATGCAACTACATGATCCACGTTATAGAACTTTACAAAATGAAAGATGCTCATCCGAATCAATTGCCATGCAGGTTAGTATGCTTTTTTTAATTGGAAAGCTTTATCACGCATATCCAACGAACACAGATATGCGAAAGTCAAGCTTTAAATGAAAAGCCGAACTGAAAACTTACACTCATTATATTAATATGTTCACATTAAAATTTTCACAAACCCAAATTGAGAATACAGTTAAAATATTACAATCGAATGAGGAAATGTCGCGGTAATTCTGTTGGTTCTGGCTCATCGGCCAATTCCACAACTTCCAAAAATATTCTTTATTGACTGTACGACGATTGGTCAGATCTAAAAAAATGAAGCTAAAATGCGATTAAGAATATAAAATCTGCAAAAGAATTCATCCGTCTTTTTAGTTTGTAATATTATTAAAAAACAAAAAGGCTTTTTCACTTTTTTATGCATTTCGAACAATATATATAATAATTAACATAATAACATCTTCTTACACTTTTTTATAAAACAAATATATTATTTCATTATACCCAGTATACAAATTTGGAAAACGTTTCGTTATACCCGCAATTCGTTAAACTGAGTATTCTCTATACCGAGCGTTGACTGTATATAGAATTTAAAAACAGTAGATTCTTCCACATTCCAAAATATAGCATATAATACTTTTATGTAATAAAATACATGTGCTAATTACAACTTTGAAATATAGAAATGTATTTCAAATAAACTATCGGCAATAATTTAAATCATGATTTCTTCTTCTAATATATTTAGTCTTTGCACGGATCCGGGGGATCCCCATATCATGTTTACCCAAGCAACAACATGACAGCTATACGGGCTTTCCAAACACCAAACTCCAGTCTTCAACATATGTCTACCAGCCCATTATTGACATCTTCCAGAACACATTTGATCAACGTAAGTGTGCCTCGAATACTAACCAGTGGCTTATTGTGTAAATATCATATATTTTCAGGACATGTCCCCTTTACCGGTACAAAAATCTCAAATTCAACAGGCACCTCGTACTGTAAATTTATCACGACGTTCTACCATACAGGAAACATCGTTTACAAATCAAATTGACACCGATGCTGTTGTACGAAAAATTCAAAATATGTTTCCCACCGCAAGTGAAAACCACATACGTTTACTTCTGAAAAAGTGAGTACAATTTAATTTTTGAAGAATAACAACAGAAACAATATAAACGCAACATTATCAAAAATATGCTGGATATTTTTTCCATAGAATGCATAATATTTGCGTGTCAAAAATATATTGGATAGTCTCATTTGAGATGACAGTTCTTAACGCAGTAATGGCAATTCTTAACGCTTTTGAAAAATCATTTTTTATCATATAAACTTTTTGAGGTCCGATTTTCCGTACAACTATTTTCTATATACTGAATCATTTCAATTGTTTTAGAAAATTTGTAGTTCATCGTTGACGAAAAATTCAATTAAAATAATTCTTTAGGGCCTTCGAATCGAAATAGATTTTGATGACAAGACTTATGCAATCAGATTACAAACACATTTCAATAACGTGCTGCGCGTAGAAATTCGTACGCACACATGTATGCCGTCAAATAGTTATTAAAAATCGCATAGCTTGGGCTATAATATGTGTTTTGCAGATTCACACATAAAATCAACAATTTGTATTTTGCATTTTTATTACAGGTACAATTTACTCAGTAAAGTTTTGTATAAGCAAAAAACAACAAGTTTTAAAATTTGTACAAAATGTTGTTTTTGTTTCCTCTTTGTAATTTTATTGTTCGAAGAAGAAGTATCGCTCTTACTCTCTCATACTAGAATAGTATAAAGAGAAACCTATAATAAACATGGCAAAGAATTAAGTAACACTTCTTTGACAACTGATACCTGCAACTTTTGTGAGCAATTCTGCTGCAACTCTGCCGAGTTCTCAGGAGAGGGAGGTAAAAGAATAGTAAAGTGATTAGAAATTCAAAAGAGAATCATAAAGAACAGCAGCAGAGTAGCGTACAAAGGTAGAATATGTTAACACCGAACTTATAAAGAAGTATTAAAAATAAGTTAAGGGGACCCCCCCCATTCTCGGGGTCAAAATTTTTGTTGATATAATTCGAATCTACACTGATTAAAGAATGTCTCTACAAAATTTCAAGTGAAAATCTCAAGAACTCTTGAAGATATAGCCGATTTATTGTATCAGCATCAAATGACGGATGAAGGGCTTCTCAAACTTTAAACGCGTTTTTCTCTAAACATTTTTTTGCGAATGGCGGGCAGGATAACTCAAAAACTAATAACCCAATCGGTTCCAAATTTTACAACGTTTCTCTGGGAGTGTATAGCTCTCGTATGAACTAGGATAAAGCAAATCGGTGAAGATCTTCCTTATTTTTTAACTTGGTTTTTGGTAAAAAATCGGCGATTTTTCAAAAATATTTTTTCAAAGGTCCACCATTTTGATAATTTTAGAGCGAAGTCAATAATCCTAGTTCATACGAGAGCCAGACATGTACTCTTTCTAACACCGTTGGAATTTTCGGATTCCGATGTTCCAGTGAGGAGTTATCATGCCCGCCATCAAAAATAAGGACTTTTCTTTAATTACAAAAAACAACAACAAAACAATAACAAAATTTTTTTGTAAATTATTTTTCTTCTTCTTTAAACCTTCAATTATATATGTGCAATGTTACAAACCTTAACAAGCATTGGTATTGATTTACCAGCCCATTGAAAATCTTGAAAAAATAAAATCGAGAATGGGGGGGGTTCCCTTAAGCAATAATTCTTAATATCAAAAGAATTATCTATATTGGTAAACGTAGATCATAAAGCTTGCATATTTAAATATATTTATTTCCATCTTATCTTTCACATGCTGCATTGTTATTTATATATGGATTTCTTCAAATTTGGCAAAACTCGTATATACATATAGATATTATAATCGAGAAGCTGTTGTTATTAGTGCTTTACAGGTGGAGAAGCATCCCGTTACAATGCCAGGACCTCATGTTACACCACCAGGACAAAGGCATTTATTTCACAGTAATTCCACCATTCATATGACACCACCAGCTCGGCGCTTTGATCCTGGCTCACATCTGCGAGGCCTAGAAATGGGCAACAGTTACTCGCGTACAGCAAGTCCTGTGCCACCTGGTCGCCTTTGTAATGCAATGAGTATTAATAGCGGCAACATAGGTCCATTGGTATTGTCACCCTTTCACGGATCGCCATTCTTAGGCGAACAAGTAAGAAATTCACCAAAACCACATTCGTCTCCCAAAATGAAGTTAAGGTATGTAAACTTATTCCAATACAAGGCGTATTTATATAAAGTGTATTTTTTTATTAAATAAGTTAGGATTAAGATCTCCTACCTACAAGAATGTACGAGTTTGGGATTTGCATTTGACATGTTACTCAAAATAATGACAATACTTATTAATGTGGATCATCCATAAAAATATGACTATATCTGAACCATGTCATAAAACTGTATTTCCATTAGAACTTATTCTCGGGTTAACCTCCCCTATTAGGATATATAATATATATGTTAAATATAATGAAATTGATAATTTAGATATACTGTATTTAAGTGTACATAGATGTAGTAAGTGTGTAATGATAATAGGTATGTTTATTCTTTCAATAATTTGTATAAATAATTATTGGATGTTTTTTGTTTATGCAATCCAGTAAGAGTATATCCGACAGGTAGTAAGTGTTAAAAAAATTAAATGTTAAAGAAATCTTACAAATTAAGTTAACCTTTTGTAGATATTTTGCATTTTATATTATTTAGCAATATTTTTTCTCGAGAGAGCATAAGATTTTAGGTAATGTAACTGGACCAATTAACACACCTAATTCCAATAATTATTTTTTTTTTAATTTATATGTAAAAATTAAAAATATATATGGGCAATATTACCAATTTTTCAACATAGCTGAAGCGGAATTATTAAGTATATGAAAAAAGTGAATAGTTTTAGGTTAATTGAACTGTCGTTGCAAACTGTTCATGATATTGACCTCCAAACTTTATTTTGGTGGAAGCTGTGTCTACTTTAATGTAAAAAAATGTGTAAAAACAGGTTGAGGCGAAGCAGTTTTTTTATGTTCTCTATAGATTTGTGATTAAGCCACTCATTTCACGGTCTTTGTATCAAAGTAAAACTAGAAGCCAACAAAATAGGGACTACGCCCCTTATGTATAAATTTTTCAAAATTTTAACTGCTTCTACCTTTAAATGATGCTGTAATTTTGAAGCTCGATTTTCATTGTTTTTTGAATTTTACTTCTGAGTAATTTGATATATATTTTGTGTATGTATAATGCACAGCTTCAGAGTAATACTCATCCGAAGGTTTTTTACGTTTCGAATGATATAAAATATTTTTCGTGAAAATCCATATACTAGAACGGCGGGAACTGGCCTTCCAAAAAACAAGTAATTTGGCAAAAAATATTTTTGAAAATATCGCAGATTTATTTGCGTTGTCTGTGGATAATGGTTAATAAATGACCTGTTACGGATTTTTACTTTTGCGAAAAGACAGCATTAATCAGTATAGATCGATGTATTTTTTTAGGGTGCACACCGAAATCGGATGCGCGTTAAGGCATATGGAGTTTTCGGAAATTATTCGCGTTTTACGAGTTTTTGGGTACTTCAATGCAACATGTAGTACATCTTAGCCGTCAAATGAAATTTCGCAAAATATATATATATATATATATATATATATGGATTAGAAGATAAACTTCAGTACTTCCTGGGAACCGCATGCGCATCAAATGATTTAATAGTATTATTTTATTTCATAATATTTCATATAATTCATATAATATTTCATAATATTATTTTATTTTAAGATTTATTCCTATTTATAGAACCCAAAGATTTATCAGAAGGGTCTTGATATAATCCACAAGGCGTATACTTATAAACAAAAAGTGATTATTTTTATATATGTAAATTTTTCGGAGAAATTCGGGTAAAATATCATAATAACTCCTACATTTTTTCCGAAATTTCTTGTATAAAATTAAAAATAAATATGATGACATTTTTTGTTGTTTGTTTTGTTTTGTTGTCGCTGTAATGTACATACCGCTACACGGACTTGTTTGATTTTGATATAATTTGATTCATCATGGTGTTTAGATTATGTAGATATTTGTAAATTAATTTTTAGGTGCGTGTATGTCATTAATGTAATGAAAATATTGACGTAATCTCCTATATATTTATTATTTTTATCATATTTCGCGAAGATGTGCACCTTTTTCCCGATTATTATAATATATTCATATTCTTATTCTACGAGGGAAAATATATATCAACGTTTTTGGTCAATATAATAAACGGCGTAATTTTAAGATTTTTTTCTTATGCCCAAAATTAAAACCTCGATAACTTTGGCGCGCATCAACCAAAAAATTGATCGGTTTCGGAGTCAGAACATTTTTCTCTATATGTGTACCAAAAATCATTGATGTACCATAAAAACAAAAAAGCTGATTTTCTGAAAATGGAATATTAAAAAATTGGCAATATTGCCCATATATATCTGATATCTAGATTTTTTTTCAAAATATTTTTAATTGAAAAAAAATAACCGTAGTTAAGGCATGGAAAAAATTCAATTTGTTTAAAAATTATCTTTAAATAAACAAAATGGTTTTTCAGATGTGGTGAAAAGCAGTTTTTTATTAAATTAAACACAGTACTGTATAAAAACTCTGTTGTGTGCGTTCAAAAAGTGCAAAATAAATCGAAAATTTTCAAAGATACAACAACAACATTTGGCAGAAAATGTAGAAATGTATTTCCTAAAATTCGCCTTCTGAATGACCTGATATTTGGGCCATGGTCCATAGCAAACACAAAATCCAATCAGAAGTTAAGGTTGTAACACATAACATGCCCCGTCCGTGTTCTCCCCTGTAGCATTCTTAGTTACATCTCCTCGAGTAAGCAATTTTAAATAGAACGTTATTTTTGTCTGTATTCTCATAAATTTTCGCTGAATGTTGTTATAGTTTTGAGTGTACAGGAACGGGTTTTAAGTAAAAAGTTGGACATTTTGTAAAAGCTTCAGATTCATTAGGGTTCTGGAACGAAACTATTACAATAAACATTTTTTTATTTTATAATTTGTATTGATTTTTCACAGATACATGAAAATGATTTTTCCAAAGGCTGATGAAACATTGCTCTTAGATGTATTAGCCAATGCCGATAACAACGTCCAAAAGGCATCAGAAAAGGTAATATCCTTGGGATATACCAAAAAGGATTTTCTTCCAACCCAAAAACCACCACAGCATTTTGAAAATCAGCACGAATTTGATGATGGATGTCACACCGTTCAAAATGTTACCACGATACCATTGCTTCCAAATAAGTACACAGAAGATAAAAAAATTGCAAGTAAGTCTGCATCACTTACTCCTCTTTATATGGGGTGGGTGTTAACAATTTTCGATAGACATATTTAATGGAACTATCCTCGAATACCAAATACATACAATATTGACGGAAAATTACATTATTTGTTATGGTCTTTTTTACAAAAATAAAAAAAGTATATTCCAAACTGATTTAAATAATTTGTAATTGTAAAGGATCGATCCTTGTTATCAAAGTTTTTTCGTAATTGCTGTTCTTGAAATGAAAAACTAAAAAAATGTGAAAGAAAGTGGGAACACTTTCTTATTTTGAGTTTATTGTATACATATTCAGCATGAATTCTATTAATTTAATTAAAAAAATCAAATGCATTTGCCCTGTATAATTAAACTACGAAACCTAATGAAAATCCAAAATATTAAAATATTGCTGTGCTTTTCAATCTATGTGTACAGTACAATTGTGTATACAGTCCAAATTATTTAAATCGTTCAGTATTCAGATTTCATAAATTTTACTTTTATTTTTCCCGATTTTTGTAAAAAAATCGTAACTATATCTCCCTATTGGAATGTAATTTGGTTCATATTGCAAAAAAACAGTTTTATAAAATGGCAATGGTTGGATTTTACTTATATGCAGCTTTCTCTTTGCTTGTTTTTATAAAAATTACAGAAATGTAAATTTTTTTATTTTTAGTAACGCAACGTCTTCAAAAGAAATATCCGCACATTGTGGAACACGTAATTCGTATGGCTCTTGAGTCTGTAAACTATGTAGAAGATCGGGCGATTCAAATACTCCAAATCGTTCACGACGAAGAGCAAGAGCGCGCTATGAATAGAATTTGTCCTTCTCACGGTTTGATTGGTGTCGATAACACAACTACTTCCAATATATATGCTAGAGATAGCGTTGGCATTCCACGTGTGTCCGGGTAAGTTCATCCAAAATAATAACGAGCTTGTTGTAAGGAATCATCATTTCATAATCATCTTCATAATTCTGCTGTATCCCTTATTCTTCCGCTACTCACTTTTTTACTTGCTAATTTTATTTATATGTGAACATTTTGAAACGCTTTGCATTCAAATACAAAAACTAATAACGAAACTATAGCCGAACAACGAATGTTGAAACTGCCGGTATGTTGCCAACGTCAAAGGATACACCAAATACAGGGGTGACAAATGCCGCAAAGACTGAAGTGAATGGATCAAATGATGCTAATTTATTATTAAGTCTCAACTTAAAACTGTCTTCAGTTACCATGGAAACAACAAGTATTTTAGATCGATATCGTATAAATTCCAGCAATAGTTCCAAACATTACATTCGTGGAACATGCGCATCAACAACATTTTGGCATAAATTGTCCCCACAATCACGAGATAAATCCAATTCTTTAAAGTATGATATACACTTTCTAACATATATACGTATGATTGATTACAATTTTGTTGTATTATTTATAGTATATGTATTGAGACTATGGTCTTAGAGTCCATAGCTGTAGTTAGACATACAATCCTTCATTCCATTTTTATAATGTCAGTCAATCGCAAGAATTTTTACAAAATTTAAAATTTTATACAAATTATAATTACACTGTGATACAGAACAACAAAAAAATTATTCAGGGTTTCTAATACACCAATTCTTGTTAGATGGAGTCCCTACACCACGAAAATACCTTTGGTTTTTAGGACACTTCGTTAAATTTTATGTTAAAAGATAAATATTTCACTTATTTTAGAATATTTCTAAATAAGGAACTAATAAGTTAAAATACAAAAATGTGTATAAGACATCCATTTTTAACCGATTTTTTTGATTTTGCTCATTTTCAAATCTTATTTAATTTTCTTCTCCGTTATATAATAAAACTTGTACGGCTTGATATAAGAAATTCATCGTACAGTCCGATAAAAAATAAATTTTGTCTTTTTATACTTTTCAACCACTGTAACTCAGCCTATTTACCAAATATCAGGGACCGAAAATAACAGTTATTTTTGAAAATGTAAACAAAAAACTCTTCATGTTAGAGACAAGGGACACCTACAGTGTCATATACCAATAGATTCGTATTGACGGGCCCATTAAGGATACTGGGTGATCTTGAGAAAACATTCTCACTTTCCATGTGAAGACTTATTATTTAACGAAAGAAATAAACGTTGATTTTTAACTGTAAAAAATTATCTTTGTTCCGCCAAAAATAAAACTCTTTTAGGAATTGCTATTTTTCCGTCAAAAATAAAATTTATTTGGGGAGTTTTTTTTCCATCAAAAATAAAAATCATTTTGGGAGTTTTATTTTTTCCGTCAGAAAATAAAAAAAACGTAAATAACATATAATACCAGTTATATAACCTTTGACCTTATAGTCAAGGGTATTATACTTTAACTAATATTCTTGATTTCATACACTAAACTACTATTTAAAATTTTTTTTACAAATATTTTTTACCTTTGATCCTAATCACTTATGTGTACACTAGGGCGGGCCAATTTGTATGGGGCCAAAAAATTCGATTAAAACCAGCCCCTAGGATGATTCTATGGACAATTCTAAGCAACTTTGATGAAGGAACCATAGGTCTATATAGATTTTCGAGTCTCCCATTTTTCAAAAAATTATTTTTTCCTAACATCATTTTGATTTAAAATTCGAATCAAAATTATGTTATAACAATCATATTTAACATTTAACAGTCAACGCTTATTTTTCTGTTAAAAAATAAATAATTTAAATTGGATTTTTTTATTTAGGCCACAACTGATAACTGATTTCATATTACTTATAACCGTTACGGTCCCTGCCAAATATATCTCTTGTTTGAAAGGAAAAATTTTACTCTTCGAAAGAATAATAATAAAAAGAATAATAATAAAATACGTTAGAAAGAAAATAAGTTATTCCCGTTTGAAATTGAAAATCTATGAAACCACGCGTTTCTCTAAATTTAACGTTATAAAATAAATTTAGGAAGTGACCCAAAAAACCAAAGGTATTTTCGGTGCATTAGAACCCCTGCATAATTTTCGTGTCGCACAGTGTTAATGTCCTTTTCAGTGATTTTTTAATAGTAAATCTAGTAAATGGGAAAAATATCAAAACTAGAAAACTAGTAATAATGCCAAAAGCAAATGGCAATACCTCAAAATCAACACAACAGCCAATCATAAGATGGAATTCCTGGTTACCAGTTTTACTCGGCCAAATTTCTCTATTAAAAATTTTACAGAGAACGCTATTTTATTCTGTGTTCTTTTAAGGTGACCCAACCCATTCTCGGTTTCAAAACTTTTAATTTTTTATTTTGATTTAATTTAAACCTATAATAATTCAAGAATGTCCCTATAAATTTTCAAGTGAAAATCTCAACAAATTTTGAAGGCATAGCCGATTTATTGTGTTGATATCAGGTGACAGCAAGAGGGCTTCTCATACTTTAAACGCGTTTTTCTCCAAACAGCGTTTTTGCGAATGGCGGGCACGATAACTCATGGCGTTTCTCTGTGAGAGTATAGCTATCGTATGAACTAGGATAAAGCCAATCGGTGATGTTCTTCCCTATTTTTTTTAACTTAGTTTGTGGTCAAAAATAGGCGATTTTTCAAAAAAAATTTTTTTTCAAAGTTCCGCCATTTTGTTAATTGTTGTGCGAAGTCAATAATCCTAGTTCATACGAGATCCAGACATGAACTCTTTCTAACACCGTTGGAATTTTCGGATTCCGATGTTCCAGTGAGGAGTTATCATGCCCGCCATCAAAAATGACATTTTTTTGATAACAAAAAACAACAACAAAAATTTTTTGTAAATTATTTTTCTTCCTTTTTAAATCTTCAAATATATATGTGCAAAGTGGTATTCATTTACCAGCTCATTTAAAATCTTAAAAATAAAAAATCGAGAATGGGGGGTTCCCTTAAATTTGTTTGAAAGTTTCACTAGTTTTGTGGAGTCAGGAAAGATTTCTGAATAAAAAAAATCCAAAACTTTTGAGATTAGTAGACTCTTGCAGATTTTAGAACAGAACTTTTTTAAGATGTAAATTTTATTTCAACATCTGGAAATTTTATTTCTGTTACCGTAGTCAATATCTGGTACAATATTTTAAATTTATAAAGAAAAATCGAAAATTATTTCGATAATATAAAGATTGCAGGTTCTGGAACGGAGTATTTATGTGTTATTTTATGAAAATATAAGGAACAACTCTCGAACTGACCTAGATATTAGGCTGTGATGTGTTATACATATTTTTTTATAAAATCATGGGTTTTATTCAGGTATCATGGACAATGTAAGGTCCTATCTCTATGAGGATAATGGTATTCTCTTTTCTTCGGAAATTTCACTATTTGCAAACAAAATTTTGATTTGAAATCATAACCGTTTACATACGATGTATGACAAATTTTTAAGGTTTCAACAATCGAAAAGTTGTATAAAATGTAGTAAAAGTAGTAAACATTTATTTATTTCAATATTTGCAAATATATGCAGTTATTTTCAAGAATATATTCTGACTTATTTCTTTCTAGAGAAGAACATTTTGAAATTTGATATTGGTATTTTTTGACCGTATATTTAGTAATTTTATATTAATATATATATATATATATATATTATATTTTATATTTATATTTTACTTAATTAGCCCTGTGAAAACACCTTAAAATAAGATATTTGTTCCATTGAAGCATATTTCATTCCCGTATTCACTAATTGATATAACTCCTTTGTCAAAACCCTAATGATTTTGATATGTTTCGATATACAATTCCGACGTATATTACCTTATGTCATTTACGTCTTTGATTTTGACGGGCCATATCTAATTGTTTATAAAGAAATCAACCCATAGAAGTAAAACTTATTACGAACTCTCTAAGGAAATACTTTGGCTATTTCTAATTTCCTGTAACTTTCAAATATATTATGTGTATTGTAGTGACATTAACGTTTCATCTACTTCATATTATTCCATTTGTGAATTACTTAACACATTTCCTTTGTAGTTTAAAATACAATACATCAACTCATAAAAGAGTTTTAAGTTATGAAGAATTTTTATATTTTGAATTATGCATTCCAATTAGTTATATTCAAACTAAATGTCGGATGACCGCCAAGTCTGCACTATGTCAGTAGTTTCCTACATTTAACACGATTGATTTAATCAACCATATATTCCATATTATACTGCCGATAAGTAGCAATTTATAAAATCTTTTTAAAACAAGAACTAAAAAAGTAAATAATAGCAAAGGACTATATCTTTTATCGGCACCGACTCCAAAAAATTGCTCACTCGTCATGGAAAACCCTAGTTTTAAAATCATACAAAATAGAGATTGTGGAATAGTGATTTTAGTACTTTTCCATCGATCTGTGGTAAGAAGTGTTTATATTATGTTCAGATTATTATGCATGCTGACACATCGCATTCCATTAATCCATTTTATAATCTAAAAAGTAGTTGTAATATTGTTAAATAATTTTACTATTTTCATATATATAATACTATTAACAAACATAATTTTATCAAAGACATTCACATCGTGATTGCATTGACTCGACGGAAGAGAACTTGTGCAAAGAGTTTAAATCTTTAATGGGACGCATTCAAACTAATGGACCTAATAGTAGCCTGGCTAAAGGCGCTGACGAGGGCTTACTTTTGTAAGTATAACTCTTAATGTTAAAAATTATTGTTGATCTTTGGACTTTCTTTGTTATATTAATAAAAAATTGTTTTTTTTTAACATAAAAAACTTTTGCATTTATTTCACAAAAAAATTTACATTTTTATAACTTCCATAACTTACGAACAAAATGAGATATTCGTCATGAAATACCAATGAAAATTTGATGTTTTTATTTACAATTCAGTATATGTACCCTATTTAAAATGGATTGCATTCCATTGTATGGGACGCTGAAATCTTTTTTTTTTTTTTTTTTTGTTGGACTAAAGCTTGTATTTTGCCTCGACTCGACGACTCAAAGTCATAACTAGACCTCGGATTTTTGCATATTTTTTATGCTTTATCCGATTGGACTCAAATTTTGTATTTAGGCGTTTCATGCTTTAATTGATCGATATTTGGGGTCATGTCAAAAATATGCAAAAAAACATGCAAAAACTATGCAAAAAATATGCAAAATATACAAAAAATGTGCAAAATATGCAAAAAATATGCAAAATATGCAAAAAATATGCAAAATATGCAAAAAATATGCAAAAATATGCAAAATATGCAAAAAATATGCACGGTATGCTAGGTCGATATGCGATAAATATATGCAAAAAATATACAAAATATGCATTGTCGATATGCAAAATATGCAAAAATATGCTAAATATGCTAAAATATTCAAAAATATGCAAAAAATATGCAAAATATGCAAAATATGCAAAATATATGCAAAATATGCCAACATATGCAAAATATGCAAAATATATGCAAACATATGCAAAATATACAAAATATATGCAAAATATGCAAAATATGCAAACATATGCAAAAAATGCAAAAATATGCAAAATATATGCAAACATATGCAAAATATGCAAAATATATGCAAACATATGCAAAATATGCAAAAATATGCAAAATATGCAAAAATATGCAAAATATGCAAAAATATGCAAAAATATGCAAAATATGCAAAAATATGCAAAATATGCAAAATATGCAAAAATATGCAAAATATGCAAAAATATGCAAAAAATATGCACGGTATGCTAGGTCGCAATATTAAAGATAGAACTTTGAAATTTTGCACATATATTATTATTACTCCTAGGATGTTTGGTATTGGAAATGGGATATATCGGTCCACGTTTTAGTATATCGCCATATAACGGTTATATATGTTTGCATGTTTTATACATATATTTAGCAAATTTTTCATAATGCCCCAAAAATCTAACAGTTGAACCATGAAACGCATACATACACAATTAGATTTCTATAGGTTATGCAAAATATGCAAAAATATGCAAAATATGCAAAAATATGCAAATTATGCAAAAATATGCAAAATATGCAAAAATATGCAAAATATGCAAAAATATGCAAAATATGCAAAAATATGCAAAAATATGCACGGTATGCTAGGTCGCAATATTAAAGATAGAACTTTGAAATTTTGCACATATATTATTATTACTCCTAGGATGCTTGGTATTGGAAATGGGATATATCGGTCCACGTTTTAGTATATCGCCATATAACGGTTATATATGTTTGCATGTTTTATACATATATTTAGCAAATTTTTCATAATGCCCCAAAAATCTAACAGTTGAACCATGAAACGCAAACATACACAATTAGATTTCTATAGGTTAAAATTTTTTTTAAAAATTTTGAATTTTTTTTTTTTTTTTTTTGATTAAAATGATTGCATATGTGAAATATGTTGCTCATATTTGCACATATTTTGCATATTTTTTGCATATCTCGTGCATATGCAAAATATGCAAAAAAATAAAAAATATGAACCCTTCAAATAATTCTAAATCCTTTGAAACGAATTTGTGTCCAATCAGAATTTCGATATCTTCAGTATTAAAAAATATGCAAATATGCAAAATCCGAGGTCTAGTCATAACATAACAAACATTTAATTGAAAAAATAAACTCACATTCGTATTTCGCGCTTTTGTAGTATATTATTTATATAATAAATCTAATAAATACAGTATTTTTCGGTTAATTGCACATCAAAATTTGCACAAATTTTTTTCAATTAACCGAGGACCACTTTTTACCGAGCCCGCTTACTATGAAATGTAATATTTTTGACCCATCATGTGGTTCAATTAAGCGTGGAAACCAATTAACCTGGGTCAATTAACCGAAAAATACTGTAGTTGCAAATTTATTTATTTATTTTGGCATAACCTTGTATTATTGTACAATTGATATTATTTACTTTCTAGAATATATTACCAAAAACATATTTAATGTTTACATATATTTTTTCTAGAGCCGATTACGTAACTTGGAATGGTGCAAATCCAGAGTTTTACAAAGGCCAAAATAATCTTGCTATTGGACCTGATGCATCCTTGCTTAGTGAACATAAATATAAGCCATTTGGACCAAATCCAGAGCTGTGCAAAGGACCGCAAGTAACATTAGCAAAAGGAAGCATATATAATCAGAAGAACGCTAACAATACCAAAGCAATGAACATAAAATGCAATTAAGAAAAGAAAACAGCTTCCCATTCTCATTAAAACGCGTGTGCCAAATATCAACATATTATTCAATATTATTTGTAAACATATAAAGCGATAACAATTAATAAATATAAAACATTTCATTCCCGAAATCCGTTCTCGAATGCTACAATATTGAATAACATTATGCGCAATAGGGGTTTAGACCAGTTTTGCCAATTTAGCACTTTTAGTGCAAGATTTAGCACTTTTTTAACTTGCTTACTTAGCACCAAAAAAGATCTAGCACCTAACATTTTTATTCTCTTTCTGGATATTTTTTTAATTGTCCATATTTTTTATTGCATCTCAAACAAATTTGCCGTTTTTCAATTTCACATTGGCGCATTTTAACATTTACCCTATATTTTCCAATGTTAAAAAATTGTAAGTTAATCTGTAAACAAGTAAAAAGCCCGGCCCGGCCACACATTTTATACTCGGCACCATGTAGTGTGTATTATTTTTTTTTAATGGTGCTTTGATATTGTCTGCTAGTTGATTGTTTATTTGGGAAAATGGAACCCCAAATTTACCGGGGACTTTGTATGGGAGCGATGTAAAAATCATGAATATAAATTGGAAACGTTGCTATAAAAAGGTTTTTAATTAACGGGGAATACAGAATGTCAAATTATAACAATGTAGCTACTGGTATTAATCTTTTTAGTGGGAAGATTTGACACCTCATAAAATCAAAATTTCAAATTATAGTCAATAGTCAAAAAACGTACCCGACGTCCTCAAAATGCCGAATAATATGGGGTAACGCTTTGTTGGGGCGAATCCGAAACATGAACCAATATTTATAATTCTTGGTAGAGAGATTTACTACTCAATGAGATTTAAAAATATTATATAAAAGTGCGTTTACATTGTACCGGATTTGGTTAACCCAGTGGGTTTAAGTTGTCTATTCCTTTGAATGTATGCCAAATAAATCCTCATAAAGTAGGTTAACCCGGTAAAAAGTTCTAATGTAAATGCCGTATGAAATGAAGGCACTTCGGTTAAAAACGTGCCTAATGTTACCAAAAAACCAATAATGGGGGGTGTTTCTCCGACATTTCGTCCCATATTGATAATTCTTGATAGAGAGATTCTGTACCAAATGAAAATCCAAAATATCAAATTAGAGCAAATTCGGCTGTAAAACATAGCTCCATATAAAAAATTTATATGGAGCTACCCAAACATTATAGTAGTACTAGTACGTGCACATTTTCAAATCTCAGTGTTCAATATTGTGAGCTGTATCGACAGACGTACATGACTAAATAGGTATAGAATTTTATTCTGATTTAGAATAAATGGGGTCTCAGGTAAATATATCCTTATTCCACCTTGAGAGTATAATGAATTTTTAAGAAATACAGATCTCACTATTAACTATAAGCAAATTTCTTTCTATACATTTTTAGCACTTTTATTTGACAGTATTAAAAATTTGTAGCACTTTCAAGACCCACAATTGACCCACAATACCAACAGTATTCTGGTCGTAACAAAGTAAAAGTACAATTGTTCCGACACAATCCGCAAATATTAACACATACCTTAGATGTAACTACGAAAAATATATAAGTCGTCGTCACCTAAAATTGAAATTTTGAAATCCGCCTGTACCATTGTAAGCTTGTATCATGAATGAGGGCTTTGCCAAAATCAGGACTTTATAACGAGTGGTTTTAACTAAGGCTGAAGTAAGCTCAGTCGCTGCCAGGGTTAACCTAAGGACCCACAAACCTTAAGTAAAAAACACGAAGGATTACAATTTCAATCTTTATTATAATACTCTGGTGTTTACAATATGAATAATAGTTTGGATGTGAGATAAGCTTTTATGTTGGAATCTTCTAATCGGTAATGGTAGCTGGGTATGAAGATCGGATCGTGAATAGCCGGCTGGTTACAGTCGGCTCGGGGGTGTTTAAGTGATGTCGGATCGTAACTAATCGGCTGCTGTCGGTACTTTGGAGATCGGTTGGCTACAGTCGGCTCGAAGATACTCGGCTAGCTGATGTCGGCTCGTTGAAAATCGGCTAGCTGATGTCGGCTCGTTGAAAATCGGCTAGCTGATGTGGGCTCGTTGGTGATCGGCTGGCTACAGTCGGCTCAAAGATACTCGGCTAGCTGATGTCGGCTCGTCGGTGATCGGCTGGCTACAGTCGGCTCGAAGATACTCGGCTAACTGATGTCGGCTCGTTGGGGATCGGCTGGCTACAGTCGGCTCGAAGATACTCGGCTAACTGATGTCGGCTCGTTTAAGGTCGGCTGGCTACCGTCGGCTCGTTGGTGATCGGCAGGATACAATCGGCTCGTACATACTCGGCTAGCTGATGTCGGCTCGTTGGTGATCGGCTGGCTACAGTCGGCTCGAAGATACTCGGCTAGCTGATGTCGGCTCGTTGAAGGTCGGCTGGCTACCGTCGGCTCGTTGGTGATCGGCAGGATACAGTCGGCTCGAAGATACTCGGCTAGCTGATGTCAGCTCGTTGAAGATCGGCTGGCTACCGTCGGCTCGTTTGTGATCGGCAGGATACAGTCGGCTCGTTGTTGGTCCGCAGGATGGGGTTTTCAGGGTTCGGGTTTTGTCAGTGTTCGTTTAGTAGTTAGTGGTTATTAATATGGAGCTAGCTATGAGCGGGGAGCTGGCAAAGAGCGTGGAGCTGGCTATGAGCGAGGAGCTGACAAAGAGCGAGGAACTGGCTAAGAGCGAGGAGCTGGCAAAGAGCGGTTTCGCGGTATTTCGCGCTTTTGTAGTATATTATTTATATAATAAATCTAATAAATACAGTATTTTTCGGTTAATTGCACATCAAAATTTGCACAAATTTTTTTCAATTAACCGAGGAACCAATTATCCGAGCCCGCTTACTATGAAATGTAATATTTTTGACCCATCATGTGGTTCAATTAAGCGTGGAAACCAATTAACCGTAGGGTCAATTAACCGAAAAATACTGTAGTTGCAAATTTATTTATTTATTTTGGCATAACCTTGTATTATTGTACAATTGATATTATTTACTTTCTAGAATATATTACCAAAAACATATTTAATGTTTACATATATTTTTTCTAGAGCCGATTACGTAACTTGGAATGGTGCAAATCCAGAGTTTTACAAAGGCCAAAATAATCTTGCTATTGGACCTGATGCATCCTTGCTTAGTGAACATAAATATAAGCCATTTGGACCAAATCCAGAGCTGTGCAAAGGACCGCAAGTAACATTAGCAAAAGGAAGCATATATAATCAGAAGAACGCTAACAATACCAAAGCAATGAACATAAAATGCAATTAAGAAAAGAAAACAGCTTCCCATTCTCATTAAACCGCGTGTGCCAAATATCAACATATTATTCAATATTATTTGTAAACATATAAAGCGATAACAATTAATAAATATAAAACATTTCATTCCCGAAATCCGTTCTCGAATGCTACAATATTGAATAACATTATGCGCAATAGGGGTTTAGACCAGTTTTGCCAATTTAGCACTTTTAGTGCAAGATTTAGCACTTTTTTAACTTGCTTACTTAGCACCAAAAAAGATCTAGCACCTAACATTTTTATTCTCTTTCTGGATATTTTTTTAATTGTCCATATTTTTTATTGCATCTCAAACAAATTTGCCGTTTTTCAATTTCACATTGGCGCATTTTAACATTTACCCTATATTTTCCAATGTTAAAAAATTGTAAGTTAATCTGTAAACAAGTAAAAAGCCCGGCCCGGCCACACATTTTATACTCGGCACCATGTAGTGTGTATTATTTTTTTTTAATGGTGCTTTGATATTGTCTGCTAGTTGATTGTTTATTTGGGAAAATGGAACCCCAAATTTACCGGGGACTTTGTATGGGAGCGATGTAAAAATCATGAATATAAATTGGAAACGTTGCTATAAAAAGGTTTTTAATTAACGGGGAATACAGAATGTCAAATTATAACAATGTAGCTACTGGTATTAATCTTTTTAGTGGGAAGATTTGACACCTCATAAAATCAAAATTTCAAATTATAGTCAATAGTCAAAAAACGTACCCGACGTCCTCAAAATGCCGAATAATATGGGGTAACGCTTTGTTGGGGCGAATCCGAAACATGAACCAATATTTATAATTCTTGGTAGAGAGATTTACTACTCAATGAGATTTAAAAATATTATATAAAAGTGCGTTTACATTGTACCGGATTTGGTTAACCCAGTGGGTTTAAGTTGTCTATTCCTTTGAATGTATGCCAAATAAATCCTCATAAAGTAGGTTAACCCGGTAAAAAGTTCTAATGTAAATGCCGTATGAAATGAAGGCACTTCGGTTAAAAACGTGCCTAATGTTACCAAAAAACCAATAATGGGGGGTGTTTCTCCGACATTTCGTCCCATATTGATAATTCTTGATAGAGAGATTCTGTACCAAATGAAAATCCAAAATATCAAATTAGAGCAAATTCGGCTGTAAAACATAGCTCCATATAAAAAATTTATATGGAGCTACCCAAACATTATAGTAGTACTAGTACGTGCACATTTTCAAATCTCAGTGTTCAATATTGTGAGCTGTATCGACAGACGTACATGACTAAATAGGTATAGAATTTTATTCTGATTTAGAATAAATGGGGTCTCAGGTAAATATATCCTTATTCCACCTTGAGAGTATAATGAATTTTTAAGAAATACAGATCTCACTATTAACTATAAGCAAATTTCTTTCTATACATTTTTAGCACTTTTATTTGACAGTATTAAAAATTTGTAGCACTTTCAAGACCCACAATTGACCCACAATACCAACAGTATTCTGGTCGTAACAAAGTAAAAGTACAATTGTTCCGACACAATCCGCAAATATTAACACATACCTTAGATGTAACTACGAAAAATATATAAGTCGTCGTCACCTAAAATTGAAATTTTGAAATCCGCCTGTACCATTGTAAGCTTGTATCATGAATGAGGGCTTTGCCAAAATCA